CCGCAGCCTCTTACGCCAAACACGCTTATCGACAGCCGGCATTATTAAAAGTGTAACGCGCACTTGTCGCTAAAACCAATAAAGTGTGTTCCGATGTTAAGCTTCTCTAAATAAACTCCCACTACAGGCAGAGTGCTCCTCAATGAGAAATATTGATCCGATTTATTGTTGTGGTCGTAAACTTGTACTATGAGATGATGATTTATTGCGATACGTCTCAAGTATCAAGTAGCAATCAGTTTGGAAGAATTGAGTACAACGGACATTGTCAAATTCGGACACTCAGCAATCAGGACAATCTAAACATTATTGGCTGGGGCTTGTGGCGTATTTCAATACTCAGAAAAATTGCACATTTCTGAAAAAGTCAGTGAGTTAAGAGTTATCGTCACATCGTAATGTACTACCCATCAGAAGTTTAGACTCACTAGTGTAAATGAAGCCACTTACTTCAGGCAACTGTTCTTAACTAGATTTTGCTAAATATTCCATAACATGTAAAGGTACTGTTTACACATGAACTGATGTATTCTAAAACAAATTCGTAACTTTGACAAAATTAATTTCATGAGTTCAATAAATCATGAAACGCAGTGAAAATTGGCGAATTCTTAACAAAACTTTACACCAAAACGCATCTGGTCACATGCGCGATATTTGCACATGCTTTTCAGAAAATTGATGCATGATCCTCGTGCAATTCACCTGCATAAGGTTTGCAGATGGTTATCCTAAGTTAGTGGAGAAATTCGTCTTCGATGTAACCTTTAAATATACTGAGTCAAAAGAGAAACTTCACAAAATGTAATTTGAAAAATAATGGATAATTGTTTTCTGATGATACATCTATGTATCCGAAATGGGATCCCTATCTTTCGACTTTAGAAAAAAGTTAGCAAAACCAACTCAAACCCATCCATTCGTCATGCAAATGATGTTAGGGCCAAATCAGGTTTTGTACGTGCAATCGATCACGTGATCTTCGCATCGAAGTTTTCTTCATATGCACGTGTTTGCATTGGCCTCAAGAATTGAAAAAAACACACTTTTAAACCACAGTTCTAACGGTACTTGAAATGCCACGATTGTCAAATGTGCAACGTGAACGTGCCGTTGGCATGTTGCAAGCGGGAAGATCAGTTATTGACGTTGCAAGAGCGATGGGATGCAGCCGTCGTACTGTGTATGACTTTCGAGGTCGTCTACAACAAACTGGCACCACTTCTGATCGCCAGAGGTCGGGTCGTCCACGTGTGACGTCACGAGCAGAAGACCGTCAAATCGTCCTACGTCACCTACGTGACAGATTTCTGCCGGCTACACGAACCACGGCTGAGATGTTTAGAGGTCGACTGTCCTGACAGACCATTCGAAATCGGTTGCGGGCTGCCAATCTCCAGTCTCGACGTCCATATCGTGGGCCGATATTGACGCCGTTTCATCAACGTCAACGTCTGCTGTGAGCCCAACGTCACCTCCGATTGACCCAGAGAGACTGGAATCGAGTCGTCTTTAGCGATGAATCCAGGTTTACCCTCAGATTCGCGGACGGCAGGCATAGAGTCTGGAGACGACGTCGTGAACGGTATGTCCAATGTTGTGTACAGGAAGTCGACAGATTCGGGGGCGGAAGTTGCATGGTGTGGGGTGCTTTCTGTGGGAACAACCGTTCCCGACTTCTGGTCATCTGTGGAAACCTCACAGCTGCTGCTTACCGCGACCAGGTGCTCACCCCTGAACTCGTTCCTTTCATGGCGGCTCATGGCCCAGGTCTACAGTTCCAGCATGATAATGCTCGGCCGCATACCGCGATGTTGACACGAAATTTCCTTAATCAAGCTGAAATCAACGTCATGGACTGGCCATCGAGGTCCCCTGACCTTAATCCAATAGAGCACGTTTGGGATGCACTTGGGAGAAGGCTTCGTGGTTTTAGGAACCAACCTCAGAATTTGCAGGAACTTGGCGCTGCCTTGCAAAAGCAATGGCGCAGAATCCCCAACCACGTGTTCACAAGCATCAGGCAGTCCATGAGGAGACGATGTTTGGCAGCGGTGAATGCGCGGGGCGGCCATACACGATATTGAAGTGAGAAATTTCGCATTTTTATTCTTGTGACTTGGCATTCTGTATACCCATGTTTTGGAACGGCGGTGTAGCCTAATGGAACTGATTATGGCACTGCCAGTGTATCTAGTACATCACACAGATCTCAGCAATGAAATAATAACAATTTAACCATCTTACCATCTCTTGTTCTTTTATAGTGCCCTGTAGAAAGAATGTGAAGTTTCTTTTTTGACTCAGTATACATAACATATATTGAGTGCTTTAAGTGAGTCTAAACTTTTGATGGGTTGTATATTTCAGCCTAATAAGATAAATAACAGATAATGTTAGATTATAAAATCTGTCGATGACTGACTGACTGACTGAGTTTAGTTTTACGCCGCTTTTAGCAATATTCCAGCAATATCACGGCGGGGGACACCAGAAATGGGCTTAACACATTGTGCCCATGTGGGGAATCGAACCCGGGTCTTCGGCGTGATGAGCCAACGCTTAAACCACTAGGCTACCCCACCGCCCCCTCTGTCGATGAAAGACAGTAAAACAACTAGAATAACGCAGTTAGACATTTAAAGCTAGTATGTCACTATTTTGGACATTAGGGCAGCATTTTATGTATTAATTTGTATTTATGTATTTATTCATTTTTTGATTTATTCATTTATTGTGTGTGTTTGTTTGTGTTTCTCATAGCCCGACCGACCCTTCTAATTGTATCGCCGACCCCCCAAAAGATTTTTTTTTCATTCCTACACTGCCGAACCTAAAACATACTGCCTTGTCATATACAATGTTTATCTATTTGAAATGTTTTAATCAGTAGCTTCCACAAGTCCAAAGAACGAGAGAAATTGTAATAAGAATTACAATAAATGAGAATCAAGAACATTATTCGGACAATTTTGTCTGTTTTATTATTATTATTATTTTCCGACCGACCGAACCATGTTCAGAATTTGATGGCTACGTGAAACACATACAAAAAAAAAATGATGCCCTGACAATATAAAAACGGGCTATAGATCACAATACTAGAGATCATGGGAACTTACAGTACTTTTACTCCCTGCATGGACCATAGCTGGATTTATACCATCCCTTCAACAGCTGGCGATTGTACTGAGATTTAACCATTACTTAAAACACCAAACATACGCCGATTAAAAGTTTGCTGGGTTTAAATTTACTTTGCATGTTTAAGACTTACGTATCCTCACAGAAGGACAAACGTTCTTGCTACTGGCCAATACGAAACGTTTTTCAATCTCTAAAAGAACAGAAACATCGCTTCAAATTCATTACATTCTATAAAATTAGAAACGGTATTTCACCTGAATATCTCAACAAACTTCCACCACCTCAAGTCTCTGAAAGTAACAAATATAATCTCAGAAATAGAACCAACCTACAGACAGTCAAATGTAGAACCCAGTCTTATGCCAGATCATTCCTTCCGGACACGATCAACTTGTGGAATAATCTACCTGATGAAGTAACCGATGCACGCTCACTAAAAGAATTTATATCGTTAATCAATCGTTCTGATAGAATTACAAATAACCTGGACTTGAATTATGGTTAATGATTCTGCCAAATTGTCCACTGTCGCCTCACACTTGGCTGCAGCGACTTATATGCTGATAAGTTTAGGCGCCATGTATCAGAAAACCCAGACTCCATGCGCACATGTAGGTATCAATTCTTTACTTGCAACAAATCCGATAATATCAGAGAGACTACCTTTACATACATGGGTATGACCTGACATCAATACTTTATGGCCATAGTTAAGTCAGCAGTTCCATAAACATAGAAATCCTTCAATCAGTCCATGACTTTATCGTAAAAAGGAAACGATCTGAGCAATTTTAAATTCATATAGAAAGGATAACTGCATTATCGTACTTTTCCTCAGACACCACTCACTCCAAAATACTGATCTTAATACAATCTTCTGAAATGTATTACCAGCTGTCTCAACTCATTACGTGGAGAGGTATTTACATAAGCAAGTTTTGATTTTTTTATCCGATCCAGATTTCTTTGTAAATAAAAATATGCTTAAACCATATCGGTTTTTGTTGGTTACACAGCCATGTTGGTTTTCTGGTGACACAATGGCTGATGCAGGAGCTGCAGCAACAGCAGCACCCAGCAGATTTGTCAATCTTCTTATCCAATGTACCGACTATGGAAAGCTTTTAAACGTAGATTACTGGCTACGTTACTGGCATACATCTAAAGCAAATGTTTATTGAAACGTCATCATAAAATGCACCTTTCATGTTACTACTCAATCAATGTAATCCGCCAAACTTAATTTGATCCGACTAATTAGCTGTGTAAAGTAAAGTAAAGTAAGCTGCTTCATGTTGATTCATGTTTCCGTGAAAACATTGAATAGTATCTGCAAGTAATGTTGGTTGATCTGTGATTATCATTGAAACCTTGGGAAATCGATAGTGACAAATATGTTTTACTGACTGACTGAGTATGGTTTTACGCCGCTTTTAGCAATATTTCAGCAACATCGCGGCGGGGGATACCAGAAATGGGCTTCACACATTGTACCCATGTAGGGATTCGAACCCGCGTCTTCGGCGTGACGAGCCAACGCTTTAAACACTAAGCTACCCCACCGCCCCACAAATATTTTTTTAAGATGCTGTTGTCTTAGACTATTTTTATAAAGCGGCATCATAGTCTAGTCTCTTTTAATCATACGTACTTCACTGTTTGTCAGTGATTAAGGACCCCTGAAGATCCAAGTTAAATTGATATTTAGCAACCCATGCTTGTAAGAGGCGACTAACGGGATCGGATGGTCAGACTCGCTGACTTCGTTGACACATGGCACCGTATCCCAATTGCGTAGATCGATGCTCATGCTGTCGAGCACTTTTGCTGATGATGAAACTTGTCATGCCCCTATGCCCAGCACTTCTGCTGATGATGAAACTTGTCATGCCCATATTACCAGCACTTCTGTTGCTGATGAAACTTATCATGCCCATATTCCCAGCACTTCTGCTGATGATGAAACTTGTCATGCCCATATTCCCAGCACTTCTGCTGATGATGAAACTTGTCATGCCCATGTGACCAGCACTTCTGCTGATGATGAAATTTGTCATGCCCATATGCCCAGCACTTCTGCTGATGATGAAACTTGTCATGCCCATATGCCCAGCACTTCTGCTGATGATGAAACTTGTCATGCCCATATGCCCAGCACTTCTGCTGATGATGAAACTTGTCATGCCCATATGCCCAGCACTTCTGCTGATGATGAAACTTGTCATGCCCATATGCCCAGCACTTCTGATGATGATGAAACTTGTCATGCCCATATGCCCAGCACTTCTGCTGATGATGAAACTTGTCATGCCCATATTCCCAGCCCTTCTGTTGCTGATGAAACTTGTCATGCCCATATTCCCAGCACTTCTGCTGATGATGACATTCATCATGGTCATAATTTGAAGTATTCTTATGAATGCCAGAGTTTTATAACGCAGTATATAAGAGATTTCATTTATGGGCTAAACGTACGAATTTTACTGTCCTGCGTTAACAGATACTGATATTGACTAAGTTTATTTAATATGGTCACGATATGGCTGAAATACAGCCGATGTGACTTTAAATGTTAATTCACTCAATCTCTCACTCACACACGTATGAAGATCCGGATTAGAACAGGATGGAAGTAACTCAGGTTTATCAATATCGGAATCGGGTTGACTGGTTGGTTTGCTTAGTGAATGCTTGTAATCGCATCCCAATTGCACAGATTGATATTTATGATTACCCTGGATTCAATGTATTACTCATGTGTTTTGACATTTATCGATGTCGAGGGAACGCTTCAACCACTAGTTTTTTTCCGAAATCTTAGCCCTGGAGATACATAATGTCTACATGTCAAGTAATTATTATGTTTATTTTTCACATTTTTACAGCGATGTTCAAGCGAACATTTCTTGCGGTGCTTCTAACTCTGATCTCGTTCATCGGGTACACTGCCTTCTGTAAGTATCCATCGAGTGTAATAACTATAATTTACAATGATATTGCCAATATTTCAAATGTCTTTAATTTATAACTCAATTTAATATAAATGACAATTCTGCTGGGTTATTCCCATTCCCATCTTTCACGGGGAATGAGAAAAGTCTCACATTTATTCATAATATAATTATCCTACTTGTTCAGGCGTGCCAGCTCCTGAGAGGGTACCGTTAGTCCATGTCAAAGACTATTTTTCAACCACTGTTGTCGAATATTTGTCGACCGGTGAAGATCCGGGTTGGAATTGGTCTTCACCAACCCATGTTTGTCACAAGAGGCGGCTAAGGGGATCGGGTGGTCAGACTTGCTGACTTGGTTGCCACATGTCATCGTATCCCAATGACTACATATACCCGTAAAGATACGGGTTAAAATTGGTCTTCACCAACCCATGTTTGTAATAAGAGGCGGCTAAGGGGATCGGGTGGTCAGACTTGCTGACTTGGTTGCCACATGTCATCGTATCCCACTGACTACATATACCCGTAAAGATACGGGTTAAAATTGGTCTTGAGCAACCCATGTTTGTCGTAAGAGGCGGCTAAGGGGATCGTGTGGTCAGATTCACTCACTTGGCTGACACATGTCAATAGCGTAGATCGATGGTCATGATGTTAATCACTGGATTGTCTGGTCCAGACTCAATAACTGGAATATTGCTGAAAGCGGTGTTAAACAACATAGAAACAAACACTCTATAGTATGGGTCATTACGATCGGGGAAAGTAGCCAGCCAATATTGAGTCCATGCAGGTAGAAAAAGTACTGTCCCCAGGGTCTCTCAAGTATGGTGATCAACTTTCAGTTGATTGCAATCTGTAGCCCGTTTCTATATTGTATTTTCTGTAAATTTCAAATATTTTGAGGGTCACATGATAGTTTTATATCGTTAACTGTGATAATACTAGTTGTTGTCGACATGTTGTAAAATCATTAACTTTATTATGAATGTAGAAATTGTCACGCTTTGTCACTGAATCCAAGTCTGAAATACTGCCGATGGATGTACCACGTATGAATTGAATCCAAGCTGGCCATGCTTGTCGCCAGTGGTGGCCTAATGAATTACCCGTCGTCATCGTATCGGCGACTTGAGTTGATTACACGTTGCCTGATTTCTAATTGCGTATGTTTAACAGTGATGGAAGTTATCACCAACATCCCACGCCGTCGTGATACAGGTGAGTGGAGTGAGTGGATTATGGTTTTACGCTGCTTTTTTAACAATATTCCAGCAATATCACGTAAAAGTAAACAAGTGTGATGCAGTTCCACTCTGTTGACTTGTAGTCACCCATTAGGGGCTGAACATATGGCATGCCTGTTGCATATGTTTGTGAAAGAGTCGCTCGCTTTCACGCCGAAGACCCAGGTTCGAAACACCTGGTACATTTATCACAACTGGAATTTTGCACGCTACTTTTAACAAAGATGACGTCTTGCAAATTGCGGCAAAGAGCGTCTTGCAGCTTTGCGTTTTGGTGCTTTTATTTAACATGAAATTAACCAACTTCTCCTTTTTCAGCATACTATTTCAAATGGACAGTCGGGTTGGAGATGCTTCGTACACCAAAGTACAATTTTAGTTTCATAATACACTAAATCATCAATCACGATAAAACCCCATTAAAAAGCCCTTTAATATGAGATTTCTTATGATGTTAAAAAGGATCTTTTCACAAAGATTTTAAGTTTATAGTGAGCAGACACTACATTTCATTCAGCGGTTACCTACAAAACAACGAAGATTACAACTATATGGATAAGAGTGAGTGAGAGTGTTTAGTGTTCCAGCTATATAGCGTTGGTCTGTAAATAATCGAGTCTGGACAAGACAATCCAGTGATCATAAGCATGAGCATCGATCTTCGCAATTGGGATACGATGACATGTGGTCAACCAAGTCAGCGAGGCTGACCACCCGATCCCGTTAGTCGCCTCTTACGACAAGCATGGGTTACTGAAGATCAATTCTAACCCGGATCTTCACGGGTCGAACTAGTTCTTGCTTATTGCCATAAAGTTGTAATCCTCGTTGTTTTGTACGTAACCGCTTGTGGGCGAGCTGGCTAAGGCGCCCACGATGTGCCGTTGAGATCTAGGGATAAGATACCAGCGTCTTGAGCAAGCACTAGTTGCCTAGATATGTTCGCTGTATAAATATCCTATAATAATACGTGTGTACATATTTACATCTACGTATACTTATGTACATGCAAATATTTGCTGGGAAATAAAAACATATAATTTTTTTAATTTTTTTGAATTGGTCATAAGGAAGTGTAAGTGGTGATGCTGTTTCAAAACATTCATTATTATCATATCAACATTGAATTTCCCTACTTTTTTCAAAGAGTATATTACATTGATTTCTGAAATCATGTCATCAAAGGAATGTGACATATATATTATGGAGGTTGGGGTGTTCGAATCCAATAGTATACACGACATTAACGAATGTCTATTTCAGTGGCAACGTTGTAATATGGATCACAATCCTCAGCTGCGCATGCCCAGCAACGGATACCAGAGATGGCAGCATAATTGTTGATGTTTTATTTTATGTGTCAGTCTTGACAAGGCTCCAAAAGAATACTGAAGGTGCAAATGACATATAACATACAGTCCGTTTGAGTCAGAAACGGACCGATGAATTGCAAATTTTTTCATTGTACAAAATTGCCACATAAATATAAATAGTACACATGTTTATCATTTACTAATACCCAACGGCTTTCTTATATTTGAAAATTTTCCGGAGCAAAAAAGTTGTTTAAGAAACTATCATCATTGAAAACGCAAAAGTTGTTATCTGTCGCGGCGGGGTGAAACCGCAGAAAAGGAACAGCCACTATCTCGTCGTGCACGGGATACACATGCCTGATGAAAAATGAAGTTGAATGCTGACGTGAAACAGTTGATGATTAAAGTGTACGACTTTTTCCGCGCCGAAGCCGAAAGGGGCAAACCATTTTATGCCATTAATAAATTCCGTAAGCGGGCAGCAAAAGCTTTAGGAGTATCAGCAAGGGTACTGACAAATGTTCTGGAATACAAACATTGTGAGGGTGATGCGAAGCAGGTCGGGGTCGTGTAAAAATCACACGAATTAAAACATTTGGACAACTTTCAAGAGAACCTTGTAAGGCAGGCTATCAACAAGCTCTATTCTGAAAACAAATACATGTCGCGACAGATAACAACTTTTGCGTTTTCAATGATGATAGTTTCTTAATCAACTTTTTTGGTGGAGTCCGGAAAAAAAATTTAATATAAGAAAGCCGTTGGGTATTAGTAAATGATAAACATGTGTACTATTTATATTTACGTGGCAATTTTGTACCATGATAAAGTTTGCAATTCATCGGTCCGTTTCTGACTCAAACGGACTGTAGACAAACGTACAAATAAAGTAAGTGAATGAGTTAGTGACAAATGAAGTAGGTAAAGCATGTAATAAGAAAACCTACACGGAAAACTACACCGTTCCTAAGCTCCTCACAATGTTCTGCCGACTCTCCACGCATTGTCCTTGATTAAAACCAGTGATTTGGAGATTTTACGTGCGCTTTTCGACATCATGCGTATTTCGCATACGGCCAAATAGTGGACAGCGGTGCAATTTGAAGCAAGCGTCAGTTTATGAAAGCCTTATTATTTTCAAAATATTGTGCATTTCGCTTTGAACTTAATTTATGGGACTACATGGAATACACATAAGAACTAATATACATAAAAGACAGGAGGCGAATCTTTTGTTGGGTACTTTTTAAAGTACAATTTATACTTTGTTACAGACAAAATCGACGAAAATGCACAATGAAATAGTTTAATATCGAAAATTTGGGCTCATGGAAATTCTCCTGAATCTTCAGCCAATTTCACACGTTATATTTGTTCAGTAATGATTCGAAGGCCGACACCGTCGTGGCGTCACCAGTCATGCTCATGTCTTCATCGTTCCTTAGTATGATCCACATAACCTTGCATTGTTCGCTACAACACTCTAAGGTCACAGAATCTCCCAATGTGTTCTATAAAGGAAGGTCATTCATGCGTACCGTGAATTCGATGCCTGAAGTGTACAGCCGTTTTCAGTTCGCGCCATTCCGTCTCATAAAACAGTCGTGACTCCACTAGGCATAACCGAATGGGGAGAGTGATCAATGGGCATGTGATCATTGGCAAATTGTTTGCAGATCATCATAAGGAGGCACAATGTTTACCCCGAACCTAAGTAATTTGACCCTTTCTGTGACCCTAAATGTACCTGTTTCCTTGTACTAGCCAACTCAGCAATTGTGACGTGGTTCTCCAAATAGCCAAGTCAGGACCAGACAATCCATTGATTGACTTCATGATTATCGATCTAAGCAATTGGGATACGATGACATGCATCAACTGAGGCAGCGAGCCTGACCTCCCGCAGCATGGGCTGTTGAATGTCAATTCTAACTCGGGTGTACCTTGATTCGGCAGTGGATGTCCCAAAAGTGACAATATAAGGCACAATGTCACACCCCATTTCTGTAGAAATACATAATGCATTTCTCTCAATAATACTATCAGCCCTCAGGGAAGCTACCATATAATTTATTCCGTATTTAGATTACAATATTTATTCACAAAGTTCGAATGAATTAATGCAACGTTGCATTAAGTCGATTCTCGCGCCCTCTATGGGCTGAACATTATTTCAAGAGTACCCCACAGAGTTATGTCCCTTGGAGGGCTCTTAACGAATATCGTAAGCACAACTTGTGATTGAAACCAGTACGGCAAACACCGACAGCACCGCGTGCGACAGTTTTCGACGTACGGAACAAGCGTTTACACTCCATATATGGCAAGTGTTATCTGTTTGGAAGCTGTTCGCCTCGAAGTTTCAATTATCGATTTCAGACAAGTCGTAAGGGATAAATAGCCGTTTATTGCATCAACAGGAAGCTAATGTGAGTGCATATATATGCCCCAATATATAAAATATAGGCCAAAATATTGTCGAAAATGTGTGGCATTAAAGTCTTTAGAGTCTCCAATTACCGAGCGTTTCTTCCAAATTACTCAATATGACGTATTTAAGTGAAATGCTCATAAACCAGACTGATACGTCATATAGAAAACAAGACGCATACAATAAATGAAATAACGAAATGTTTTCAAAACATCTCCCGACAAATCCGCCTGTCTCGAGCTACAGATAACGTAATATGCCTTCGACCGTCCTGGGAGCTGAAACCTGTCAATTTTTGGGAAAGTCAACGGTTAAAAGTTGGGAAATCTATAAGACAACCATCCCACGAATACATCTAGAAAAGTTTTCTGTCAAGAAACTCAACAAGTTTGAAGATTAAACAACATTTTGTTCTGTGGAAGGCGTGTTACACTCTCGTCTTAGTAGAGTACAGCAGTTCCAAGATGGATAACTTTAGTCGAAATCCGAGTCTATGAAATGTGTCAATCTCTGCATCGGCTACTGGGACCAACCTCTCAGATTGATTAGGAATGCATGGATATAACAAGTCAGCTTGAAGAAGAACATTTAGCACTGATTCCGGTAAGAAACTAGCTGCTTTCTGGTTCGATGGCATGGACGCCGTGTCCGACTTACTTGTCACACCTTCAGATAACATCTTTAGTCGGTATCTTGCTGTTTCTATTTCCCCGAATTCAGTTTCAACAACAAACAGGTTTTGGGAATTCAAGGGCTGTAAAATTCTTATCACTCTTCCTATTTGGTCACCGTCAACTTTAACTAGGTAAGTGACCTTGATCGGGGTTAGCCTAACGGCGGCTATGTTTGTTTACAAACAATGCAAACGATTGTTTGGTGGTTTTTTTAAAGATTATATAATTTAAAAAACTACTATTTACAACGCAGTTTTATTCCAAAATAATAATAAAAAGAATATTCATATTCTTTAACCTTAATGTTTTCTTTTTTAGATCTCGGAATGTGTGATTACATTACTTAATGTCAATTTATGAATGAATCGATGAAACTTTATCAATGAACGTAGTGTGTGAAAGTAGTTCCGACATCCAATGAAAATGTACAAATATACGATCAACCAATCAACGTCGAGAATCACTTAATTGCACACTGTGTAAATATCAAAAAGATATTACACGGGATCTCCTCACCCGTGTGGGTAATAAACATATGTATACTTTATTTAAAAACCTGCCAGCGAAGGACAGTATAACGACTAGACAAATAGATTAGAACTAGTTTGAGTTCAGTCTAAAATGTTAAATCATTTCAAAACAACACAATATAAAATCGGGCTATAGATTGCCAACAACTGAAGTTAGATCACCATACTAGAGACCATGGGGACTTCGATTCATAACTAAGATGATCCCTTAGTACTGCAATTAATTAAAGATTCCAGTGTGTGATATATTGACCCAGTAATCGATACATGGAAGGGTTTGCATGGGATTTCTTACACTGTTATTCCTGGAAGTATTGTCGCTAACTTGTTGAAATATTGAAAATGTTTACTTCGTGAATCATCAGAATTACCTTTTTTGCAGATGCTCTCTCAAAGCATTGACGATCCTCCTTTGATCCAACCAGAAATCACAGTGGTTACAGCTTATTTCAACATTGGTTCCTTCGCCAAAGGAAGTAGTGCTAACATGTTTACGCCGGGCAAATATATGCATTGGATGAAAGTATTTGGCAACATAAACAACAACCTTGTCGCATATACCGATTCGAAGGATGTGTACGATCTCTTCATGAACCTGAGACGCAGGTTTCCCAGCAATATGACGATAGACAGACACAACCTATGGTTCTTCACTTTGGCTAAAGAGATCCGTAGTATCTACAAGCAGCCGAACTATCCAAGGCATCAACCGAACACCGTCAACGAGAACTACTCATGTGCAATGCATGCTAAGTTTGAATTGGTCAACAAAGTCTTAGCGGAGAAGCTGTTTCCAACAAAATATTTCTGCTGGCTAGATATTGGACTTTTCCGGGCTCTTGCTGATGACAAGAAGACCTTCAAGCTCCAGATTCCCAAAGAATGGGATCAACGGAAAGTAGCCTATAGTGCAGTATCCCGTTTTAACAAACAGACGACAATCGTAGATGTTATTAAAAACAATATGGTGTGGGTTGGAGGCGCAACGTTTTTAGGAACACCCGAAGTGCTTCTTAACTACACGGAAGACTACATGAATATGGTCAAGATGCTGTTAAATCAACGCTTGATGAATACGGATCAGCAGGTTATATATTCCATGTTCCTACCATCCTCACAGGTTAAACCCAGAGTTCAGATACAACTATTCTCCCGCGAGCACAATCCTTATGACTATTGGTTCTACCTTGGGTACCTGTGCAGGGAGACATGGTTACAAACCCAAACTCCTGTGAATAAAACAGCCTAATAAACGACATCCTTTTAGCCATGGTTCTATCAGTTGGTCCCCTAAACACTTATTCATTACAAAAAAATACAGTTTAGACGTATATATACTCAGCAGCAAAAACAAAGTCAGTACGAATTCAAACTTAGATAGGCACTTTAATCAAATCATTACAGAAATGGACATAATAAGTGGATCATCGATGAATAACTCAGCACAATTCCAAGACATTACGTGAACGTTTGCAGTCCATTCAGACTCTTGACTTCAGTATCTAGTGTGACCAGCACGAGCGGCAATAACTGCAGCACAGCGTCTATGCATGGAGTGCACCAATCGATTGATGAAAGCCATTGGCACCTTGAACCACACTCTGAGAAAGGCCTGGTGCAATAAACCGGCTGTGTTCGGCCTTGGTATGACATTATTCAGTCTCCTCTGAATTTCACCCCAAAGATGTTCAACTGGGTTTTAATCAGGACTAAGGGCTGGCCACTGCATAATGTTGACACTGTTCTGCTGTAGAAAGTCCCATGTAGCTCTGGCAGTATGGGTCCAGGCGTTATCATGCTGGAAAATGTTGTTCCGGTGACGTGCGAAATGTGGTATGACGTGGGGTCTTAGAGCTTGGTCGATGTAGCGCACCACTGTGATGCCGCCTCCTCTCCCTGGACCAAGGTTCTGGGACACAACAGGACCCACTCTCTGGTTCAGGCGTATTCCACCCCATACCATGATGCTTGCACCTCCCCATGAGTCTCTTTCTATAACACATTGGTCTCAGTAACACTGGCCACGTCGTCGCCATATTCTTGTTCTGCCATCTCCAGTTGATACGCAGTACCGACTCTCATCTGTGAACAGAACAGTTCTCCATTGCCTGTATCGCCAGTTTTGGTGTTGTAGGGCAAACTGTAGACGTTCACGCCGATGACGAGGGGTGAGGATAGGTCCACGGTAAGGTCTACGCCAATGGAGGTTCCCGCTGTTAAGACGTCGGCGTACTGCATCAGTAGTGATTGGTCTTCCGTGTGTTCCCCCCTGTCTGGCGTGCTTTTTCGGATGCCTGCATGAAGGGATTCTGTACATGATGTCACACAACATGGCAGTCTTGTCGTCTTGTCGTCACACTTGGTCTACCAGTACGGGGGCGATCATTTGTGGTGTTGGTGGTCCGGAAACGTTGCTGCAGCCTGTAGACAATCCGAACGTTGACCTGGAAGTGATTGGCAACGGCTTGTGCAGTATGGCCAGCTTCAAGTCTTCCTAGCGCCTGGTTCCTCTGAGCTGTCGTGAGAAGGAGCATCCTGCTGCGTTGTAATGTGAATGTTTCAAGCAGGTTTGGGGGGTGCATTTTATAGGGTGGTCCTTGTGAACAGCACGTGCAGCATGAGTTGCATGAGTAACATGGTGAACACCGTACCATCTCCAAGATCAGGTTGCGTTTTTGAAACCATTTCCTGGGTTCCATTCTGATTTTGGGAAGGAATGTCTTTGCTCAGGTAAAGTTGGAGATGTTGTCAAAAATATACAATCAAAACATTAAATGAGTTTACAGTAATCTGTTTCTGCGAAGAATAATTCAAAACTGACGTTTCTTTTTGTGCTTAGTATATATATCTTTATTAACACAGATGGCTTCGGTGAGTGACATTTTAGAAGTTGAGAAGTAAACTATTGACAAACTTAATGAATGACAACTTCTCTATTTCGTGAGTGAGACGTGTAGATACAAAGTTTTCTACCGTTTTCAAGCAGGAATGTAACATGAAGAGGAGGGGACGTATATATGCTGAATGTAGCAAAGAAAACAACATAACATAATTGGCATCATTAGCTAAACTGGCTTAAGGACAAAATTGGAATTCTGAACTTAACCATTATCTTATGATGTACAGAAGTACACCACACACACAGAAGCACCACACATGGGGGCGTGGTGGGCGAGCTGTCTAAGGCGCCAGGCTAGTGATCCAGCGAGCTTGAGGTGTCGGGATCGAGCCCACCCGTCACCTGGTGTAAAAAACCTTGGAGTCAACTCTTCGTGCAGACTCTTTCAGTGTCGTCACAACCCCTAGTGTACAGCACACAACCCTGTGCATTTTAAAGAACCCACGAATCCGTTGGTAAATGGCAAGATGGTGCCACATGAATACGTGCAAACACATAGTTGCGGGTGCAGCAACGTGCAGTAAATTTGGACTGTGTACTCTGACTATATGTGTCCCAGTCATCCCAGTTGTAAATGGGTACCATAATAAGGATGGGAAGACGACATCAACTCGGTGCGCCTAGTGGCTGCAATAGGTGTATAATCCCCAGGGAGTTGATTGATAATACGATGTGCCGTTGATTGAGGGGAAAAAAAACAACGCCTTAATCATGTGCTCGTTGGGTGGATATGTGTGCTATATAAATATCCAATAATAATAATATATAGAGACATAGCGATCATGAGCACAAAGGGAAAGGTGTATGCAGATACGCGAGGAAGAGCCAGTGCATTAAGGCCATAATGTGCTTATGAGACAAACGTGTGAGAATAAATGGTCGTCTCCATTTAACCCATCAACTTTCGCTGTGGTGCAGAGAAATGTCAACTGTGTTCAGTATAAGCGGAATGTTAGAATGTTACAGCTGTGAGGAAATTTCATGATAGTGGGGTGAATCGTCCAAAGGGAGATAATCATGTTTATATTGTAAAGCAGTGTCCACCAGTGAATGACGGTGTATCTGAAGAGTTACCTACCCTGGTACAGCGCAACATATGCAGGGAGGACAACTGTTGACACTTTGTTCAGATCATTCACCAAAGGCAAAGGAGAATACAACATACAACTTTGATTCGTGGATATAAGGGAAGTGCGACGAAAATCGAGTAGTAAATGCACGATTTCATTTTGTATATTCATTGATTCAGCAAATTGAAAATGCCTTATATTCCACTCGTGAATGAAGCGTTTGTTCACCGAAGCCATTTGCAACCATAACCCATTCGTGTACACACAAAATGTGACGTCACCTTGTTTCGTGGATAACGTAGTCAGTTACGATATACCGCATATATCGCTATATGAAAGCAGACGCCGAAATATGCGAAGGTTAGAAATTTACTTGACATGTTGTACAAATAAAATTTGGTATTAGTGGCATTAGTGATCTTGGGCTATTTATATCAGTGCTGGACAATTAGATTTAGTGTATTTACGTGTAATGCAGAAAATTGAAACACTTAATCAGTTTAGTGCTAATCAACAAACACACACAAACAAACAAACACAAACGCACCACACAAACACACACACACCACACGCGCACACACACCTACTACTGGTTTCCCTTGTTATCTTAAAACTATTGTTGTTTTAACATGTACATATATAGCTGTCTGTTCCTAATTGTTTCATTCACCTGATGAAGGAGTAAGAATCTACTTCGAAAAGTCGTGTCCATCACAAAAAAAGTTGACATCCATAAAATTCGTGCCTAAACCATGACCATCGATTTACGCAATTGGGATACAATGACATGTGTCAGCGAGCCTGGCCAGCTGATGCCAGCATGGTTTGCTGATGACTAGTTCCAACCCGGATCTTCACAGGTGAAGTAAGAATCAAGTGATGTAATGTCTATCGGTTGCAATGACTGCTCCCTACGTTGAAATACAAGTTCTATAACCACTCCCTATGACTTTTGTATTCTTGAATTGTATTGTGGAATGCTGGGTAATAAACGACGGCATGGTTGACCTTCGTTGAGGTTGTTTTGACTTGGCGTTACCTAATTTAGTTGGATCAGAGTGCTACGAGCACGGCAGCCACTACATCCCTATTAGCATGTACATATACCTCAAATATGGTGGGGTAGCCGAGTGGTTAAAGGGTTCGCCCGTCACGCCGAAGCTCCGGGTTCGATTCCCCACATGGGTACAATGTGTGAAGCCCATTTCTGGTATCCCCCGCCGTGATATTGCTGAAATATTGGTAAAAGCGTCGTAAAATTAAACTCACTCACTCACTCCCTCAAACTACAGTTCTCCTTACGTAAAGTGTTCATGCTGTTGATCATATTGTTGAGTGCAGCGTTAAACAACAACTGAACCATACCAAGCCAGTGTTGATGATATGGACTGGCCTTGCCGTGCCCTAAACTACAACCCAATCGATCACATTTTGCAGTAGCTGGGGAGACGAGCGCGACAACACATAAATCAACCAAGACCCCGATTCTCAAACAAACTTAAGTTTTTACTCAAATTTGATAAGACACGGGAAAATGCATTTCCCAGAATGAACTGAAACCGATTCAAAACTCAAACATAGTGAACAATTTGAGTTTGGTGAATAGATTACTTAAGTTTGTATGGGTTTTGTATTTTAACAATGCAGTTGAGTTTAAAATTCACCTGTTTCAAATTGTCAAACTCAGTTTTAAAATTTGAGTAAAACCTAAGTTTGTTTCGAAAAGTCGGGGCCTGACCTTGCAAGAACTTTGGTTCGACAGGTTGTTATGTTTATGGTGCGTCGTCGTCTTGCCGTCACGGCGGCTCTGCGTCACACGTTATTGAACAGTTCTGTTCAACAGTTGTATCACATACACAGATCATCATAAAGAGGATTAAAAACCGAATTGTTTGCTGGATTGGACACATTAGAGTATAGTTTCATGAGGTACTGCATCGGAATCGATGTGAAGACTGTAAATTGAAGAGATTCTGAAGGGCCCGTCACCATTCTGCCTATCCTAATTCCTCATGAGTTACATATACATCTCAGGCGTTTTGTGTAAGTTTTATGTACGTTTCTATGAACGGATCCACGTTTCGAGCAGCCCATGATGACAAAAGGTTAATTTTCATGCTATGGAATTTGCACTGGTAAATGATAACAGCGGGAAGGAGCCGCCTTTTAATAAATCGGGAATACGATCGGAAAACGCTTGGCATTCGTCGGAAGTGCGTTAGGCATGCGGTCGGCATAAGTTGGGTGCGTCCAGAATACGCTCGGCATGCGCACTGCATG